AAAACAAAATAAAACTAACAAAACATGTCCTTTCCTGCATTTTACGACCATGATTTGCTCATCACTACAACCTGTAATGATGAACAGTCGAGGAAGCAGCTTTTGTTTAAAATGTTTTAGGCTCTCAGATACGTGCATGTAACATATTGTATTAAAAAATGCAAAATTAGAGTGCTGCAATTAGTGTTCAGTTGTGTTTGAAGAGTTTGAAACAAAAGAAACAAGGTTGCTAATTACTAAAGCATACAGCTAAAAAAATCCCTTCACTATGAAGCATATATTGGCTGCTATACCCAGTGATGCTGACATGTTTGATTTCTAAATTAAACATTCATAATGATTTTTAAAATCAATGCTTTGTTTCTTATTACAGCCAGGCCAAACATACACTAAACTTCAAATTAGAACTGGTCAGTTCGGTGACACCAATAGGGTCCATTACTCTCTTTTCCCCTCATAAATTTTACTGTTAACTATATCGATGGCAAGTATATTTTTTAAAAAGAAAAGGAAAGGAAGAACTTGAGATTGTTCTAGCATACAGAGTTTTGCTTTTGCAAGGCACTCCTGAGGGAAAAGAGAGCATGCATGCAACCTGGCTTTACTAAAAGGTCTTCAATGTCTATCATAAAGGAGACCCACATGAAATATGCCCTTTAATTATGTTTACTTTCCTTTTTGCACTCTCTTCTCTGGGATTTGTTAGCCAGGGAGGAAAACATACGAGGGAGGATAAGTTGGCCATCACATTGTATCTATGCAACAGTGGATGAAATACTCATACGACCATAGAGAATAATAATTCCCAATGCAAAAAACTTGTCTCATTTACAACAACAATGATGGCAATGATAATGATGAGAGTATGTCAATGGTGTTTGGCCATATATTTTTATTCTCAATAGCTTCATCATGGTTGTTGGTGAAAATGATGGCCTCTCTTGATTATATATAGAATCATAACATAACTAGCTAGGGCTCTTAAAAAATTGTATTATCTACTAATCCAGAGTGCCAAGTGCTCTCAGTCAAGTCCAAACTGCTTCTATAATAACTCATATGACCAATTCAATATGATTTCTATCTGCTCTTTTTTTGGACGCCCGACGTAATCATGTTATCCTAGGTGCTGCTTGATTCCTCCGCCACCGTCCTCTTGCACATTTGTAAAGCTCCTTGTTGACTTTCTACCAAGGGCCAGAACACAGGTTGAAAAAAAGGCTACAGCCTTTTTTCCTGACTCGTGCCTTCGAGGAAGACCTGTCACTAGCCTGCATGTATTTGTATCGTTTCAAGCAGCGATTTCTACCCAACTGTTCTGATTTTTCTATCACAGTTATTGTCATCACTGTCACCAAAAGAATTGCTATTTTCACTTGATGTACTGCCTTGCTTTATGAAAATTTTATTACACACAAACTTTTTCCTCGTGCAGATGACTGTCTACCTCTCACGAAATCATTGCTATGTTTTGCTAGTTTTTTAAAATCTTTCCTGAGAGAATTCCCATAACAGAGTACAAGGAATAGCCTTTTTGCTATGAAAATATTGTCCAAATTCATGAAATTATTCTTGAGAGATGGACTTCAATTGGATTTTGCAATATCAAATCAGCAATGAAGAAAATATGACTGTCTTGACCAAAAGTTATCAGACCTTTTGCCCACTTATATTTCTATACAATTACCATAGTTAGTATTCTATGCACGCATCCACTTTGTTTGTCAAAGAAGGACACTCTCAAGTTGTTTCAGGTAAGTTCACTTGATTACCTTTCTCTTAATCATTTTTTTATACTAATTCATCCCAAACTTTTGACTGGCTTTCCTTGGAGGATATCATCTTCGTAGAAATTCACTTGAATTCCAAAGCTTATGCTAAAGTGCAAGCATTCCAAACCAACAAATGATTTTGAAAGTTGAGAAGACGAGTCAAAGTTGTTCTGTAAAAACATTAAACTTACACATAAAAAACCACCTGTCCTCTTCGCGGTCCGTATCATACCTTCAATAGATGAAATTGATGAGGATTTGGCACCCGATCTCTCCCTTTTGATGCCAACTAGCAACAACAAAACAATTATAGATAGTCATTTTGTTTCTTTTCCAAGCTGTAAATTGGTAATTCGTGAATCGTGGTAGTTCAACAAATTCTTTCTTTGTGCTTAACTAATGAAAATTTACATAAACGCTATTTAACTCGAGCCCTGAAATCACTCGACGTTATACCAAACAGCTTAAAATCGAGACTCACTCATGATAGGAGTGATTATGGTTGAGGGAGGACTGACCTTCACTGTGCACACTAAATAACCTCCAGATAACAAAAAAAATAAAAAAAATAGAAACATTATAAAGCATGGTCCACAGAAATACCAAATGCAGGCTGTGTGATCAATATTCTAAGGTTATAACAATGACTTTTTTCCCAGGAAGGCGAGGGAGAGGGATCATATTTAATAAAAACCTTGAAATCGACATTGGTTGGTGTCTGAAGTTTTAACCATCCAATATTTCCATTCACAAGAAATGTCCAGCAGAAGTCCAACACCCAACATGTTAGGCCCTATAGTGGTGCCCCATATCGTCAACCACGACACAAGCCCACGATAAAGACTCGCCAAGCATTTATTATTCCTCCTCTCTGTTCATAGTGCATAGCCGATTTCCATGACTTGTAGAAATCAAAGACCCGATAAGTCAACGGTCGACAGAGAGAGTGTCTGGGAAAAACGCACGTGTTAGACCTTTTCCTTTTTTTATGCACAAGTGTCGGAATATAAAATTAATACACACGGTGAATCGTACTTTCTCGTTCATATTCCTTCGTGACAACTGCCATGGCCTTCGCATACAATTCCATAGCGATTTGGCGAAAAATGTGAAACATGTACAGCTGGGGGCATGAAAAGCTTGGCACAATTCGAGCATCCATTCCCAACAATCAAGCTTGAGGAAATCACACACAAACAATTGCATAGTTTTATATCACATTGGTTAACGACTCTAGAAAAAGGAAGAAAAAAAAGAAAAAAAACATGGCTTTTGTTATGGAAGAATTACCATTCCGCTTTCTCCTTTTACCTTGGTTACAGAACGTTGCTTAAATTTTCATGTATCATTCCCAAATCCAAAGGCATGAGCATACATGGTATACGACATTTTCATGGATTATCCCCAAGGCATGCTCAACTTTATGATACAGGTTTCAGAGATATAGCAGTCATTCCACTTCCCTAAGAAGCTTCATATTGATCATGGACCATAGACGAAGTAAATTTCATCAACGTAATTGGAAAAGAAAAAAAAAAACTCACTCCTTCATTGCAACATCCAGTTCCAATAGGGCTATCATCCAAATGGCACAGGAGTCACATGCCTCCAATCCCACCGTTCTACAGAAGGAAACAATGATCTTACATAACTGAGCGGTCAATTTGCTTATCAAAAAGAATACAGAGCTGACATTTTGATTGCAAGGTTACAGACATTATAATATTCGTGTTTCCTCATTCACCACATTTTTAGAAACCTAGCATTCCTCGTATAGTAGCAGATGGCAATAAAAGACCAGATTATAACCTTAAACACTATGGACAGCCACTTTATGCAGGTTGCAAAATAAGTTTCCATTGTGTTCCATCTGCTGTTGCGTAAAACTCCATATCTGCATAAAAAGCCAATTCGAACAGAATAATCCACGTCCATCAACCATTTGGTGTTCTAATTACAACATCATATCCTTTCACATGCTGTTGTATTAGTATGACCATGCCAAAAATGACTTGTAAAACAGACATTTTGAAGTATGCAACTGTGATTGCATATTTAGGATAAAATTTTAACAGGTGAAGCATTAACAAGACCATATCATCTGAAAATTTGTTTTGACAATAAAACCCAACAAAACAATTTTGACAACGTCCTTGCAGAAACATAGTAATGAACCAGGTAGCAAAATGGGAAGTGTGAGGTGAAGTTTTGGACCAGGGTTTGCCAAAGGGTTATTTGAGGATGGTGAAATGGACTTGTGTGTTGGTATTTGGTTTAGATGCATGACAAACAGAAAGTGCAGGTTATATTCTATTGTTTGAGTTGTCCAGCACCCACATCCATGAGAGCAGAAAGGCATCTAGGCTAACAATGCATTATCAGATCTTAATCTTGACAACATCCATTGACAAGAACAATTGTGCAGGAAAAAGGCGTAAAAAGTATGAAAATATAAAGGTGAATACCTCAAAGCTAGAAATAGATTAGCAAAAACAATTACATTAGTGATATTCAAATTTGAAACTAAATCAACTTATATTTTCTTATTTAAACTCAGGAAAAAAAATCAATAGCAAATAACATGCTGTAAACATACCCTTCATATTCAGGATACAGAACGTGCTTGCTTGGAAGCTCCAAATCAGTGCTGGTAAAGGCCAAGCAATGATTTCTCCCTCTCCTCAACCCTCTTCCTTGCAGCTTCCCTAGCTTTAAGTGCTGCCTTTTCTTCTACAGATACAGCCTTTGGCTTTTCATCTGGCCTCTTCCTCTTGTTAACAGCAATTTTTGAAGGAGCGCCTTTAGCAGATCTTCTAGGATTTAAAGAAGCTGAAACTACAGGACCAGGTGGAGGGCCACTTTGAGCAGCGACTTTATTTTCTTTTACTGAACTGACAGCTGATGCTGGCAAAGGCTTTTTAAAACTGGATTCTTTATTCTTGGAGCCTGATGAAATCCGAACCGCAGCATACGCTTCTTCTTGCGTCACCCACTTGCCTGTCACATAAATTCTGAGTTAACATGCATAACTAATCTATAATTTAAAATCTTGTTGTGAACATTACGGAGAACCAGAGACTGTAAAAATTCCATTGTACAACCCTGTACCTATAGCATCAGAATAGTAAAAGCCTGAGTTTGGATCATAGTGTAAACCATTGCTTTGATTGTAATAATAGCCTGACGTGCTGTCATAATCCCACTCTGTCATCATTAAGAGCTGTATCAGTTTGAACACTAAAACAATCAAGACATTAAAATTTCAAAAGCCATTAATAGGACAATGCTGAATGAAGTATCAGAAGGGTGTAAAGAACTAACAAAATAAAGCACACAACTAGTATACTATAACAACGTACAGGTGCCTCACACAAGCAAACGAGGAGAGAATCCTCAATACAACTAGTAAACTATAACAACGTACAGGTACCTCACACAAGCAAACGAGGAGAGAATACTCAATAAAATAAAGAAAAATACTATCTCTTAGCCGCACAGAATTCTCACCAGCTTGCAAGTCTTTCTCTCCTCCAACCACTCATTGAAGTAGTATAGAAAAACGAGTCAATGTCCCTTCTATACTTGTGCATAGTTGGCCACAGAAGTCACTTTTCTTAGGTCCATTTGCGAGTAACAGCTGGATGTGGAAAATTACAAGTTTAAAAGATGGATGGCTGCTAATGCTTTTGGTTGAAACTGACTCCTAGCGTGGCTTTTAATGCTACAATTGCTGGCTTAGCAGTAGAAAATGGCTTAACAACTAGCTTTATTATAATTCAAATTAGTTTTTTGCTTGTGTGTTGACTCTCAACACTCCCCCCTCAACGATGATTCTCTACTGATGCTAACCATGTCACTGATCATGACATCACCAATCAACTACAGGATGTCTCCGACTTTGGTTCAGAAGTAGTTACTTGGTGTAGTAAGAGACAAACAATAGCTTCAATGTCAGACAAACAATGAAAGCAGAATATAGCGCAGCAGTAATGGCAGCACAAGGTCTTTATCAACTGGTTGATATGCAATCATTGCTGGCTTGGCAGTAGAAAATGGCTTAACAACTAGCTTTATTATAATTCAAATTAGTTTTTTGCTTGGGTGTTGAGAGTCAACACCCCCCTGAACTACAGTTCTCTACTGATGCTAACTATGTCACCGATCACGGCATCACCAATACGGGATGTCTTCAAATTTGGTTCAGAAGTAGTTAATTGGTGTAGTAAGAGAAAAACAATAGCTTCATTGTCAAACAAAAAATGAAAACCAAATATAGAGAAGCAGTAATGGCAGCACAAGAAGTCTGGTTAAATCAATTGTTGAAAGGTCTTCACCAGCTGGTTGATTATACAATTCCAAGACACTGCAGAATTGGGCAGCAATTCATTTGGCAAAGAATCCAGTATTTCATGTGAGATGATTGTGGAAGTGCATTATCACTTTTTGAGAGAGAATATCACGTGGAAAGTTAGAACAGCAACAAATTAGCATGGAGGACTCAGTAACTGATTATTCACTAACGGATTTGATGGATAACAATTTTGCAGAGTTTCAATTGCAACTTGGTTTGCCAACAAGAGAGCTGTCGTCTAGGGAAAATATCGGGAGCCAACACTGTCTCTAAGCCAAAAGATGCAAAATTCAATTTCAACTTAAATGTAGCTAGTTGTGAAAACATTTTTCATACTGCATAAGCCAGCCATGATAGTAAACAAAGTCAACTACGAAGCCAAAGTTGCAATCAACCACACATCACCTGAGAGTGGAATTTCTACTATTCATATCCAGCTCATGCTAGCAACCAATGTCAAAGAGTGGGCACTTGGTAAGCAAACTATGGAAGTATGGAAAGGAAACATGGCTAATTTTGTCTGTGCTGTTGGTATGTGCAAGATGAGTGGTCCAGTTTTTCATATTAGTGAAATTATGGGCTACGAGAGTACATAAAGCCTACCTAGTCCATGAGTGTTTTGTGTGCAATCCGTGTTGCGCTCCAATATATACATCTACAAGTGGCCTTTGTTCTAGTTACTCCACACCTTAATTGCCTAACAGAATGAAGCACCCGGTGTCCAACTTCATTTAGAAAGAAAAGTATCAGCACCAAGAGAGATTTTGAAACATGAAAATATTCTACAGGGCTCAATCATGGGGTAACAATTACAAATTTACCATGCTTTCTGGCAGTATAAAGGACCTGCTGGTGATATCATACCAAAGCTCTATAACACTCTAACAAAGCCAGATAGACTCGAGTCTCAGTTATCGCAGTCCATTCCTTAAAATAATCCAATGCCCCTAAACTTGCTAATGCAACTCACTAAACTACAATATAATGATGTCTAATACTCAAACCTACACCGATGCTATCACAATTATCATTGAATTGTCTCTGAAGTTTCAGAAGATTCTTGCTACTTACTCTCTTGACCATCTTCTTGTATATCCAGTGCACGGAGACTACTTGCCTCCTTAAGATTAGCCACATCCTTTTGATAACTCCGATTTGCTTTCTATCAAACATTCAAAACAAAACAAACATTAATCAGTCTCATCAAATCATTCATGAATTACACAAGAAACAAGAAATAGTAATTATCACTTTTTTTTTGAGAAAAAGAAAATCACTTACAGCTTCGATCTGCTCGAGAGCACGGGTAGCTTCTTTCTGTTGTTTCTCCTTAGCGATGTTATCTTTCCGCATAGAATCGAGCTTTTTAGCGACATTATCTTTGTGGCGTTGGCCAAGTTCATGGTTTCGGATACTTGTAGGGTTGTTTGATATAAATATCTTGCAAAAATCGCACCATTTGTTGCCTTGGCTTACCCAATACTGCAAATTTAACCATTAAAAATAGCTCAAAAATCCAAATTAAATTTTGAAAAAAAAACGGTTTTATATTTTACTTACCTCCGTCATGATGATTTGGGAATTTGATTTTGATTTCGATTGGGGAGACGCAAGAAATTTGCTGTTTTGAACCCTAATATTTTCTGGGGTTTTTTAACCCAGGTCGTTCTCAATCTCTTCTGTCTTCCTAGTTGGAAGCGAGCGAGCACGGCTGTGCAATACGGGTCGTTTGATTCCGTCTTGATTTAATAAATAACTGTAATTACCGCAGGAGTTGACTAATTTTCTTTAATTTTTCCTGTTCAATTTAGTCCATGTATCAGCAGAGAATAATGTTTGATTCTAAATCTTGTTGGAATTGATATGTCATCATGTTTTTTAGCTGAATGATCATTCATTGCATTGCAGTATTATAATTTAAGATGGAAAATATCAGCCTAATTAATTATTAGGTTTTCCTCCTCAGATTTCAAAATGTTTTTTGAAAGAACACAAAAACACGTACATAGACCTCACGGTTTCTCAATAATAAACACACAAGCAAGGCAACTATCAAGAAATTCATCCTAATTACCAAGCAGCTTGTAGCTTAGTGGCGTAAGGCGCTGCTCACCTTCTTTTGAACCTCGGTTCGAGTCCCAATGGGAGTGAGGTTGGTGAGTGGTGTCCTTCTTGGTTCTGCTAGCTCCTTGCTGTGTGGTACGCCTGTCGCCCCCGCGGTGCCTAACCTGTTCACTGAGGCTTGCAGGATGGCTAGTGGACCGTGGGATTAGTCGTGCTACGCGTAAGCTGGCCCGGACACCCACGTTAATAATAAAAACAAAAAAAAAACAAAAAAAAACAAAAAAAAACAAAAAAAAAACAAAAAAAAACAAAAAAAAAACAAAAAAAAAACAAAAAAAAAACAAAAAAAAACAAAAAAAAAAAGAAGAAATTCATCCTAATTCGACAAATTTGTTGGCCTCAAAGTTTGTTGCTTGTGCTAATATTTTTATTTATTTATTTATTCACCATAGTTTCTTGCAAGCAAACTGTTTATTTATTTATTCACCAGAGTAAATAAAGCCTTGGGAGCTAAAACCTTTATAGCCAACTCTCAACTCTTAGGTTTTCTGGAAAGAGAATGTGTTGGTCTCAAAATTTGTTGCAAATCAATTAGGTTTTTTCCAATTATTCATTAAATCTAATCTAATTTGAGAAAACCAAATTTTTGCTCCAATGATATATTGTTATACATTTAAATAATACTCACAAAAGAATGGTTATTTCTTCTTCTTTTTTTTTTGAGAAAGGAAGTAAAATAATTTCTTCAAAACAAAATAAAATTAATTAAAATAATAATAATTACTTTCAAGTCAAGAAAGAAAAAACCAGCACTACAGGCTAAGACTTTCGATAAAATTTATGGCAATGTCTTGATAAGATAAATAATAAATAATAAACAATTAACCGAGAAGAGGAAGCGATTGCAAAAATGGTGCTTCGAAAACTGGTATGGAAATGTCTTGAATGTTAACGAAAAAAGAGAAAGAAAAAGAAAAATGAAAGTGTGTGGTGGCCCACACACATTAACAAAACAGTTACACCGAACCAATGCCATCCCCATTGAAGTGATGCGATCAATGGTGATTTCACCGGAATCATTCGCGGAAATGATGATTCCGGAACTGAAAACCCCACTTCTTAACCAAACTACTCCTACTTTCCACCCTTTATCACCCTGGCTTTCCGCCTCTTCCATCTGAAACAGATCCCTCCTCACCTGCAAAAACCCTAAATCCCATGGATGAGTCCTTTATGTTAATGCTCTCGAACCTCCTCCACTTCCACAACTCGCTAGACTCGTCAACTTCCCTCCTCTCCTCCCCTTCTTCATCCTCCTCCGCTTCCTCCCCTCCCTCCCTCCTCTCCTCCTCCCCTCCTACCCCTCTCCTCTTCTTCACCCTCGCTTCCCTCCTCTCCTACCTCGCCTCCCAAAAAAAACCCACCCCCACCAAACCCCCCTCTTCCACCTCCATCACCACCACAAACCCTGAATCCTCCTCCTCCTTCTCCGTTTCCGCTTTCCGGGCACTCTCCACTGAACACATCTGGTCATTAGAAGCTCCTCTTCGTGACTCCCAATGGAGGTCAATGTACGGGTTATCCTATCCTGTTTTCACTACTGTTGTTGATAAATTAAAACCCCATATTACTGCTTCTAATCTTTCTTTACCTTCTGATTATGCTGTTAGTATGGTTCTCTCTAGATTAGCACACGGGTTTTCTGCTAAAACACTTGCTTCGCGGTATTCTTTAGAGCCTTATTTAGTTTCTAAGATTACTAATATGGTTACAAGATTGTTGGCTACTAAGCTTTACCCTGAATTTATTAAGATTCCGGTTAGTAGACGTAGGTTGATTGAGACTACCCAGGCATTTGAGGAGTTGACTTCTTTGCCTAATATGTGTGGCGCTATTGATGGGAGTCCAATTAAGGTGAAACGTGGGGATATTGGGGGGAATATGTATAAATGCCGATATGGGTACTCATCGGTTTTATTGCAAGTTGTGGCTGATCATAAGAAGGTGTTTTGGGATGTGTGTGTGAAGGCGCCAGGTGGGAGTGATGATGCTAGTCATTTGAGGGGCAGTGTGTTGTATAACAGGCTTGTTTCGGGTGACGTTGTGTGGGATAAGGTGATTAATGTTAGGGGTCATCATGTTAGGCCATATATAGTTGGGGATTGGTGTTATCCCTTGCTGTCATTTCTGATGACACCCTTTTCGCCTAATGGGTCTGGGACTCCTGCACAGAATTTGTTTGATGGGATGTTGATGAAAGGGAGGTCAGTAGTGGTGGATGCTATTGCATTGTTGAAGGGAAGGTGGAAGATTTTGCAGGATTTGAACGTGGGTCTTGATCATGCACCACAGACCATTGTTGCTTGCTGTGTGCTGCATAACTTGTGCCAAATTGCAAGGGAGCCAGAGCCAGAAACTTGGAAGGATCCAGATGAGGGTGGTGTTCAAGCAAGAGGGCTTGAGAACGAGAAGTCTTTTCATTATTTTGGAGATAGCCTGAGGCAGGCGCTGGCTGATGATTTGCACCAGAGACTCTCTTCAAGATAGATTTATGCTCTTATGAGAAACTGTTTTGCAGCCATTAGTTTCTCTGTAAGGATACATTCTTTAGTAATTCAAACCCAATTTAGACGACGTTTGGGTTTTCTTTTGCTTGCTCATTTGGCCTCTTCTGGAACGTTTTAGATGTAGGTTTTCTGATCATTGGACTCCATATGCAATCAATTCTCTGTACTTCATTGGGTGAGCTAACTTGGAAATTAAATTCTCAAATCAGAGAAAAGTAAGATAACCGTAGTTGGAGGTATCAGTACTTGATTGTTACTTGTATTGTTGCTCACTAAATGAATGTATGTTTTGCTTGTGTGTGACTTCCTTTCATATCCTGGGTTCTTTTGCACAGATGGTGTTTGCTGTTCTGATGCATTGGTGAAGTAATTATTCATGCATCAGTCCCAAATCTTGACCCTAGGTGTTCGCCTTGCTATACATCCTTGATGTTGTCTTGGGGAGTCTCTTTTTGCAGATTCATTAGCTGAATGAACCAGAGCCTTCAGGTAAGGTATCCCATCACCCGATAATGGCAAACAGAATTCTTGGCCCAGAAGCTAAATAATGCTTTGCCAGCAAGAGCAGCCATCTGTTTTCAGGTGGAGATGCTGTGAGTCTGCAGCAGCAGAAGTGGCCCTTTTGCTTCGTTGCCAGTCTGCAATTACTGTTTAACCGGAAGTTGAATTATATGAAATGATGATTCAGGTAACATAGCAACTGTTTTGGTTTCTCTTGACGCCTAAAAGTTATCAAGTCACATTCTTAATTTATTCTTCACGGTGTGGACCTTGAAATATTGATTTTGCTCTTGTCATTACGGGATAGCTAATGTGGAACTATAAAGCTAACATGTCGACCACTGTGAAATTACATAAACCCAC